TAACTAGCGTACCTGTTCCATTCATCAAAAAGGAGGGTAATCAACCCCAACGGGTTTGATCATTGGTTCGCAGAATTGTGTCTCCAGCATGGCCCCTTCCCCTTCCAACCAATCATCATAGCGGCTAAAGGAAACTTCCCACAATTCTGGTCACTTAGCTCCACTTCCCCCTTATTGTTCTTTCCAAAAAGTGAAAAGAAGAGAGGTTTCCTCTACAAATCTGCTTCATTTCGTCTCGTTTCTCCGAAACGTAGTTTTACTCATCTTACACCTTGTACTCGTACAGTACCTGCCTAGGTACTAGGTAGGTAGATAGATTATGACTTAGTACTTAGTAGGACCTCTCTAGGTACTCCATAGGTACCTTCTCTCTGTCTCTGTCTCTCGGATTTTTCCCCTTACGTTAGCCTCTTCCCTTCGGCCCCTCTACCTCCCCCTCCAATCTAAAGCCTTGGGCTTTTTCTTCCACTCCCACTTTCTCTCGTCCTCTTCTTCTGCCTCCCTAAATCATCCATCCTCATCTATCGACTCCTCTGACAAGGGTTGATAGATAGATTAATTTCTTCATACCGCCTTTTCTCTAGCTTCTTTTCTTGTGACTGCTGTCTTGCTCCTACTTACTTTATTTTCTTCTTCTCCATTCGATCGGATCGAGATTGTGGTTCGGTACTCGGTGCTTAGCCCATTATTCTCCCGACCTTGCGGGCGGTTTCAACTTAACTACTTTCCTTTCGCCTCCTTTCCCGCCCAGTCCTAACTCGTTCACCTACCTATAATTTTTACACCCCTTTAAACTCCCTCTCCGTTTCTCTGTACTGTCGCTCAGCTTCTCGGTAATATTATCATCAATCAATTCCGAGCCGCCAATTCGCCTTCCTCTTTCTATCTGAGAAGTGCGAACTATCATCCTCCCGCTGGAAAGGATTCCAAACCAAGTGGGTGATTCTGTTCCTTTTACCCTCCGCACAGCCGCCCATCTGCCTGGTCTTCCTCGAGAGGGCCTTTCCGCCGCATGAACCTACCTCTCTCTCCTTGCGTCAGCACGATCACTCTGATTTGTAATTGTCTGTTGCCTGTCTGTTTTCTATGGGGAATTTCCATTTTTGCGATTCTCCTCAGTGTACCACGTTCGATGTCGTTGACTGTCTCATCTGATGGTTTCGTCACGATACTTGTCTCCTTTGCTGACATCTGTCATTGATAGGCTTCCACGATAACCAGCGCTGCGGAACCCCTTCAGAGTATACCTGCCTTACACCAGACCTTCGTTAACACGCCCCAATCAATCGAATAATCAACTACCGCCAAGATGGGTTGTGGAATGAGTACCGAGGATAAGGAGGGCAAGGCCCGTAACGAGGAGATTGAGAACCAGCTCAAAAGGGACAAGATGATGCAGCGAAATGAGATCAAGATGCTTTTGCTCGGTATGCCTCCACCGAGCCGCTCCCTCAACCTCGACAAGACCTTTTCCACTAATGTCCTTGAACAGGAGCTGGTGAGTCCGGCAAGTCGACGATTCTGAAGCAGATGAAGCTCATCCATGAGGGTGGATACTCGCGCGATGAGCGGGAATCTTTCAAGGAAATCATCTACAGCAACACCGTTCAGTCGATGCGCGTCATTTTGGAGGCCATGGAGTCGCTGGAACTTCCCCTGGAAGACGCTCGCAACGAATACCATGTTCAGACCATCTTCATGCAACCTGCTCAGATTGAGGGAGACAGCCTGCCCCCGGAGGTTGGAAACGCCATTGGTGCTCTTTGGCGTGATACCGGTGTTCAGGAGTGCTTCAAGCGTTCCCGCGAGTACCAATTGAACGATTCCGCCAAATAGTGGGTTTACTCCCGTCCCTCAGCGCTGCTTCAGAATGTTTGCTAATCGGGTTGACAGCTACTTCGATGCGATCGACCGTATCGCTCAGCCCGACTACCTTCCCACCGACCAAGATGTTCTGCGCTCTCGAGTCAAGACCACTGGTATCACAGAGACGACCTTTATTATCGGTGACTTGACCTACCGAATGTTCGATGTCGGTGGTCAGCGTTCGGAACGTAAGAAGTGGATTCACTGCTTTGAGAACGTGACGACAATTCTTTTCCTGGTCGCCATCTCGGAGTACGATCAGCTGCTGTTCGAAGACGAGACCGTCAACCGTATGCAGGAAGCGCTTACCCTGTTCGACTCGATTTGCAACTCGCGGTGGTTCGTCAAGACCTCTATCATCTTGTTCCTGAACAAGATCGATCGATTCAAGGAGAAGCTGCCTGTCAGCCCCATGAAGAACTATTTCCCCGATTATGAAGGCGGTGCCGACTACGCCGCAGCCTGCGATTACATCCTGAACCGCTTCGTATCACTCAACCAGGCCGAGCAGAAGCAAATCTACACTCACTTCACATGTGCCACCGATACTACACAAATTCGTTTCGTCATGGCGGCTGTAAATGGTACGTCTCCTAAGGGCCCTTTTTTACTCTTAATTACCGACCACTAAATGTTTTCCAGATATCATTATCCAAGAGAACCTCAGACTCTGTGGTCTGATCTAATGAGCCATTATATTTGACGGAGTGAGGATTTTCTTTCAAAACATTTAGACCACATATAATGTGGCTTGTAATCAGATGTCGATGTTCTGTCTCTTTTCCTGGATGTTCTTGCCATACGTGATCTCGATTTTCCCCTGCTCGAGACCCTGGCGTTTGAGACATTCAATCTGTCCATCTACTAATCTCCTTATTTCCTTTGTCTGGGAATGATATCTGACCAGCTCTCTGTTATCATTAAGATTATTGATATCCCCAAAGACACAGAGCAGGAGTTTGTTCATCATTTCTTTTTCCATTCGCCATGTGCAGCGGGTTATCTATTGTTTCTTTACAGCCCTGCAGGCGAGAGACTGTGGTTTATGTCCATTTCCTTTTATTTCTTTTTTTTTCCATGGGATGCCCGCATTTTCTTATTCAATCTTGTCGTTTGTCTTCTAATCTTTATCTCATCCCTCTTTACGTTTCCATACTTGTTTCAATTTTCCATGTGTCTGCTTTTCGAATACTGGATATCCTCTCGTCATCTCTTGATGCCCTCGTCACAGATTCTGTGTGCAACCTGATACCACGCACCCTATCCTTGGTCTCGTGCCCGTTGGGAACAATGAAGGACGATATGGCAGTGGGCACAGGGAATGGCAGGATATGCAGATTATCATGTCTCTTCTCACGTGTCATGTCGGGTCGGTGGTTGGTCATAGTCAGAGTTTAAGGAATTGTGAATTATTCATTTGTTTTAGCCATGGGATTACCGTAGCTACTCGTTCGTGTGTCAAAGTAAAGGATAGGTATGTATGGGCCACTGGGGCCAGGGAGCTCGTATATACAGAACGCTGGAATTGTCAACGCTCAGAGCACGGTCGAGGGGCAAAACTCTAAGCCAAAGTACAGACCCTCAGAGTCGCAACTTTGGCCCCAGAAACACGATCAACACGGCCACAATCCACAGACCGAAAATCCACGCATACAGCATCATTCGCCCCCACCAGCCTTTCCCCTCGGTCATGCGCCGCAACATCCCCATCCTCTTCTCAGCGGTGCCCATATTGGTAGTCGTCCGGTCGAGCCCTTCGACCGCGCGCGCCAGCACCGACTTCTCCGCCTCCAAACTGGAATGAAATGCCTGCGAGGAAGCCTTGAGCTGCGTCGCAAGGGAAAGCAGGGAGGAAGTGAGGTCTTCTTGCTCGGCGCGGTGGGCGTCGAGCGTCTGCTCTGTTTCTTGGAGCTTGGAGGCTGAGGTCGCGGAGCCGGTGGCTATTGCTGTGGAGCCTGTTGCAGCAGCAGGGCCCCTCTGATGTCGGTGTCGTAGTGTTGTCGTTGGTGGTGCTGCTGTTGCTGATGGCGGTGGTACCGTCGTTGTCGGCGCAGCAGTCGGCAGTGTAGTCTTGGGGGTATCCGTCTCGAATTCAGCTTCACCTTCCGCTTCGGCGTGCACCTCCTCCCTCGCTTCCTCGGAGACAGCATCCCTGTTCCCTTCCGACGCGGACGATGTACTTCCCGCCTCGGGTGTGACTGTTACCGCTTCCTCCTCCTCACCATTGAGAATTATCTCGTCCTCTTCGTCAGAGTCTAGGTCGCTTTCGGCAGACTGGCGCATTTCCGCCTCCGCGGAACTTCTGTCTAGTACATCCTGGAGGAGCTTGAGTGTCTGTCGTTTTCGGGTGAGGTCTGTTTGGAGCTCGTGGCGGCGGTCGAGGGGTTTGAGGGTTGGGAGGGTGCGTTCGAGCTGTGCAAGGAGGGTGCGGGCGTATTCGACGTTCTGTGATGGGTGTCAGTTCGGCGGGATAGTGGCCAGATTGATTGCTGGATTCCACATGTAACTGAACGGAAGAGAAAAACGTACGGCTGCTATGCGCATGCGCTGGTATTCGTTTCGTCGGAGAGATTTGAGGTCTGCGGATGGGGAGAGTAGGTTGTGTTCTAGGCGGGTGAGGAGGCGAGAGAGGTTGAGGATTTTGAGATCGGGGGAGGTGGGTGTCGTTGATGAGATCTGGGGGTAGGTTGTGAGAGTCATTTTAGCGCTCCCTGATTCTATTGGAGATTGTGGTTGGGGGAAGTGAGGAGGTCGATGCTTTGTGAGTTGGAGATGGAGATGCTGTCACTTGGCTGTAGATCACATGCCATGGATGAGTAAGCGGCGGAGAGCTTCTGCATTTTGTTGATTTACCCTTAGGATACTCCCATAGACATCTCTGGCATGCGAATGATAAATGTTCGCGAGGAATCAATACCTTTTTCGAATGGAATTATGTATTGGGAAGATCGAGAAAATCAAAACATCATCGTTGAAAATCATGCAATATCATCAGTCATAAACAACTTTATCTTCAAAACACACCGCCACCCGCCCTGGTCTACTATGGATGAACTGACAAGATGAAAAGAACAGAGTCCGAAATATGCACAGAGGAGGTTCTAAAACAACCTCAGAAAGTGAATTCTTCCACCTCAGCTGTATTCCACGATCAACCGCTTCCAGGAACGGGTGCCTTCTGCATCCACAACCTGAGGAAAGTGAACGGTTTGGTTTCCTCTCTGAGTTGGATGAAGTTCTTCGGAGCCTGGAAGCTCATAGATTTCCTGTCTGTGAGTCTCAACAGACCATGCAGCAGGTACTGTTGAAGCTTCGTCCTGGCGTTGATCCTCATTTTCTATTTTAGAACAGGCCGAGGCGAATGAGCCGACCAAGCCAGCATTCTTATCCGATGTCGCTGGGCGATATTCATCACGATCGGATACGTTCCCCTCGGATACGGCCCTGGCCTCGGATCCAGCAAGTGCAGAAGGCTGCTGCAACTGACCATCTTCTTCAGATGCCAATTGGCTTCTACTCGGTTGACAACCCAAAATAGAGGCAAGATAGCCACTTGATGGCAACGGTGCAAGATGCGACAGGGGTTGCAGTATATCACAAGCCGAAGGCAGAGGGTAGGTTCTGCGCGAGAGAGCCTCCGAACTGAGCGTAGTCTGTTGCCGTTCCTTTGTCTGCTCCTCGCAATCGTACTTCTTCTGCCTCGGGGATTGTGAATCCATCTCGCTCATAGGCAAGGCGTACTGGCCTTGCTGTCGACGTCTGATCAGCCGCACTAGGCCTACGATGCAAATCACTAAAAGAGCAGGATATGTGGTCCCGAGTGAGTATGCTTGCAAGACTTTGGGTATGGCGCAGTAGTGATCTTCAGGGCTCATTGCCAGATGTGCGGTGTCCCCTTCCATGAAGCGGCTGTCCTCCGCCACCTCTTAAGCTGAATCGGGGTAAGTATCCTAATACGATTGTCAACAAGCCTCATAACAAGGAATCTACGAGAAGGTGTGTAACACACCACAAGGATAAATCAACCCTCACGCGACTCTTCACGGTTTATGTTTGGGAAATTGAAGGACAAGATGAGCAAAGAAGAGCAAGACGATGGATGTATGCCATGCAGTGTTCACTCGAGTGCAGTAGACGTAAGAGTAAGCTACAAGAAGCACATCATCAGAGGAATGAAGCAAACATCCAGGTCTGCGGGATGTCCCTCCTCGCCTTTATAAGATGAGGCTGATTGAACACAAGGCACAGGGAAGTCACATTCCGGCCCCCAGTTTGATTCGGCGAGAAAGATGTCATAAACGAATAGACTCCACATATCAACCCAGATGACCAAAACATCTTGCGTCTCTTTCCCTTTGGCAATCTGGCCCGACGACTAAGTGAGTGGGGCATCCCGGTCCAGCTGCATTGTGATCAGCCACGGAACTGGTGAAATGGATGAGGACACGGGAGGACAGACAAAGGTCTCACCCCGTCCTCATAGGGCAGTTCTCTGGGGGAAGAATGCCTGGACTTCGGAAGCTGGGCGAGTTCAGCTGATGAAGATGCGCCACCAGAAGGGGTGGGCTCAGAGAGCGAAAGTGGCGCCTGAAAGTGAGACTAGCGAGTAGGTAGTTCTAGCGACGATCAACTAAATCAGACTAAGAGCTCACTAAGTTTGGCGTCTATCTGATCATCATAGGTCGGCATTGCAGACCCATAGTTCTGGATCAACGATGTAGTCTAGATACGCGATGAGGCTGTCCCAGTCAGCCATTCCGTTGGCTGAGTTTAACTTCACAGTGTTGTAGAAAGAAAACGGTGAGACAGATGATGTTTGGGAGCGGAAAACACGACACCAGTCACCTTTTCCCTCTTTCATCCTCCGTCTCGATCAGCCTTCTCCCTTTCGGCTTTCCATCCAAAGAACTGAGTCCAATTGTCTATAGTCATTTGAAGTTGTGGTTAGTGCAGGACATGAGGTCTCTGTACATCGCTTCCGAGGTTTGTTGACAATTGGCCACATTGATCCAGTGTGGACGATTGCACACACCGATGAATCATTTCAATAAGAATGGATCCGAATCAAAACAAGTGCTAACGGAATTTTCATGCAGGCGACCCATATGACTCGCCATTATCGAGATTTGCCCGTTATAAGAGCAAGCGGCCCCGTCGAGGGGGCGAGAAAGTGGCCGCCTGTCGGTGACCCCGACGGGCAAATATCAATGTCGTCGTCTTTCGAGTCTTCCATGCGAATTGGCTTCGGTTTAGACGTGGCAAACTTCTTTTCTGGAACACCAAAGGATGTTTAATCGACTCTCCTGTCTCATGTATCTGACCTATTGACCCAACGACCTGGTCAGCCCCGAGAGCAGGCTATCCATCGGCTGCTTGATCCGTCAAACTCTATACAGATCTCAAATATCCTGCACCAACCAGAACTCTGGGAGTGACAGTCGACCTATATCAATATGCATGTACTGAGGGGCAAGCTAAGCTAAATCATGTCAAAAGGGAAGAACACCAAATCACCGCTTTACAGCTTAGCAGTGACCCCATTCTTTTGGGCCTCTTCCTTGGCTCTGTCTCGAAGCACTTTACGCAAGATTTTTCCAGACGGGTTCTTAGGAATGGCGTCGACAAAAACTACCCCACCAGTTATTCTCTTGATCGCAGACACTTTGCCGTCCATGAAGGCGACAATGTCGTCCGCGGTGGTGTTGTGTCCTGGCTTTAGGACAATATACGCTCGAGGACGCTCGTCGTCATTCCTATTCAGGTAACCAGCGTTAGCTTTGGGTCTCACTTTATGGTCATTTTACTTACACTTGCACACCAATCACGGCAACATCAGCAACCGTAGGATGTTCCAGTAACAGGGCCTCCAGCTCTGCCGGTGCCACCTGGTTGCCTTTCACCTTGATCAATTCCTGTCCAAGATCGGCACCGTCAGCTTACATACTCCATGAAGAAGTCATGCCATGGTTGCAGTGCTGCGAGAGAGCTAGGTCTTACCTTCTTGCGGTCGACGACATGGAACCTCCCGTGGTCGTCCACGTATGCGATATCCCCTGTTTTCAACCATCCATCGTCCGTCTTGGTTTCCTTGGTTGCTTGGGGGTTCTTCCAGTAGCCTTTCATGATATTCGGGGCTCGTACCCAGAGCTCGCCGCGTTGATTGCGTCCGTACTCTGTCATTCCATCATCGGCCATGATTTTCGCTTCACAGTTTGCATTTAACTCTCCAACTGACGCACTATAGCTCTTTTCAGTTGGGTTCCAGCCCAATATCGAACATGTAGTTCTGTTAGAGACGTAATACATTAGCTTGTCAGGACTCTTCCCAATCAAAATCAAGGAATCCATACTCGGTCATTCCCCAACCCTGCTTGACATTAATGCGACCAGGTGGCCACAGAGCCTCAACCTCCTCGCACACTTCTCGTCCCAGGGGTGCTGCTCCGCTTCCGATGGCCTCCACGCTGCTTAGGTCATACTTTCCGCTCTTGACCGCAGGGTGCTTGGCCAATGCAACCACCACCGGGGGCACCAAAATGAGGTCCGAGATGCGGAACTTCTCCACATATTCGAGCATCTTGATAAAGTCAAACTTGGGCATAATATAGACCGGCACTTCACGGCTCAGCGCAGCCGCGATAAAAATGTTCTGCGCCATCGCATGGTACATCGGCAAAAAGCACAGCCACCGCGCCCTGGCCGACCTCTCCTTCCAGTCTGGGTTCAGGTAAAACATGTAGTTGTACTGCAGCATGTTGGCAACGTAGTTCTTGTGCGTGATCTCCACCCCCTTTGGCCGGCCCGTCGTGCCGCTCGAGTAGTTCAGCGCAAGCGTCCGGTCAGCCTCCTCGGGCGTCGTCAGCTCATCCCAGACAAACCCTCTCCCCTCCTCAACGGAAGCTACCAACTCCCCCCAGTAACGACAGCCTTTCCTCCCTTCCCCCTGCCCTTCAAAGATCGCATTATTGAACACAAACACCCGATCCCGGGTCAACCCGGCGATCTGAGCAGCCTCAATCCCCACATCCAGACTCACGTCCGCACAGAGGAGGAACGAAGCCCCGCTATCCTCTAACTGGAAAGCCAGCTCCCTCGCCACAAACGTTGGGTTAGCACCCGTGAAGATCCCCCCGGCCATGATGATCCCCATGAACACAACAGGGAAGAACAGATCATTACCGGAGAAGAGCAGCACGCGGTCACCGGGCTGAAGACCAGCTTTGCGCAGTCCAGCCGCGAATCGCTGGCTCCACAGTCGGAAGTCATGGGTGGTGAAGTAATGGGTGTCTGGGCGGGCGGCTTCGGAGAAGCATCGATGTGTTGACGAGAGACGGTGCGTGGGCGATTTGAGAAGGAGTGAGGCGAGGTGGGTGTTTGGGATATCGACGTGATAGCGCGATTTGAAGGGCATCTTCAATATCTGAGTTTAGTTTCTGCTCTGCGAAATATTAGTCCGATTATTGACCTCGTACTCAAAGGGTGTTCGCTGAGAATAGCAAGGAAGCAGAAACTATATATACTCCAACACAAGATGCAAAGCCCCATTCACTAGCCCCAGTTATTTACCGAACGAAATACCCGGCTATGCTCAAAGTAGACCTAACGAGACCCCTTTTACCATTTGTGTCACCGATTAGGACCAATATGTAGCCTATATTCTTCGTGATGCTAGTCTACGTAGCTGACATGTCCCAAAAAAGAAGCTCCCCCGCATTTCCCCCGCATCGCTTATTCCTTGCTCCGAGGCTGACCTCGGACCTCTCGGTATAGTCGGATCTTAGATTTAATGCCATGGATAATTGGAATTATGAGCATGGATCATGGGATGACCATTGGCTAGAGTCAGTAACCTGCGTTCGGGTAGTCCTTGATGCATGAGGAGACGGCACATTTATCCGTGAAGCTTATCTGATGTCGAAGGATATGCTCTTGGTGGAAAGGCAAAAAAAGGCGAAGGAAGACAAGAAAGATATATTCTACCCAGGATAATTTACACTCCATCCCGATCCATCCCATAGAGCATGCTAGATCGAAGCAGAAGAAATGATACCCTGAAGATGCGCAGGTAAGAAACGTAAACTTGGCCAAAAACAGCTGGACCGCTCAATACATGATCATCATTATGCCTCCTCTCCTCCAAGGCAGACCAGCGCTGCCTTGAGCTCATTCACAATCTTCTCCTCCAGACGGTTCTCTGCGCCCGAGGCAGGGTTCACCGGCTTCTGTCGTGCCAGCTCCACTTCTTTTTCGCTGGTAGCGACAATCCGCGCGCGAAGTCCCTGCCGACGTTCTAGCAATTCCTCAATATCTTCCTTGACCTGCGTCTTGTCCCACTTGAGTTCCTGGATAGATTGTGCATCTACCCCGGCGCTGGGACCGGCTTCTCGGAAGCGGTTCAAGATGAAGGAAATGAGCGCAAGCGAGTACGCTTCGGATGCCATGCTCAAACAGATGCGTCGCGATGGAGAGCCTGAGCGGTCCGCAACGAAAGATTCGGACGCCCGCTTGAGCTGCCCTTCGAATTGGTTAAGGAATGCAGCCACCTCGGGCGCGGTGCGGAGGACGTGGTACAGAAGATTCAAGCACAACGGAAGGAATCCCGCAGTCCAGATGGTGTACAATCTGGGTACGGTGTCGAACGGTCCAAAGCCCCTGGGTTGTTGCAAGACATTAGTCAACCGGCAGGTGGAAAGCCTCGTCAAGACCGCTTCGACTGCCAAATGTTCCGCTAGCATCGGCAGTGTTGACAACTTGACAAGGAACAGAATACTGAGCTCTCCGTACACGGGATCCCCAGCCACGGCTAGTTGATTCGCCCATGAGAACAGTGACATGGCGTGCCTAGCCGTGTCGTTATCTTCAATGTGGTACACAATGTGCTCGTATAAGCGATCCGCATGCT